TGAAATTGGGGGTCGTTTTTGTACGGTTTCATTCCATAAAGTTCAAAAAGTCTGTCTGTCCTACTCTTACGAATACCTACAGTTGCCCAATCGCTAAATACAAATTTGGTATGAATATCTTTATTTTTTATTGGCACAATATTGTTAAATTCCTTGTTTAACATCTCAAAGAAATCGTTGTAGAAATTGTTCGGATTACTAGTATCAAATACTTTCATACATAATTTAGTAGCTAAAGAATTGCTCAATTTCTCCAGATTTTTGAACGTGATTTGTCTAAATCTTATTTGAATTTTTAAGATAGGTAAATAAGAGCTATACGCAACCATTAGTCCACAGTGGTCGGATGGCAAGCTATTTATAATATGTTTTTCTTTGTAGTCACAATTACAGAAAATATTATCAATACAGGTGGCGGTAGAAGATGTTATCCTTGTCGGTTCTAAAAAAACATTTTTCAAATTAAATGATCCAAATAAATTTAACAATTCCATACTACTAGTACTATTTTCTAATAAATTAATATTAAAATCGCCACATATAATTACTGATTTGTGACTACAACAAACCTTCCTTAAAACATCCTCCATGACAGAATCAAATACTGTAAGATTCTGATAGTTAGGTGGCCTATACACACAGACAATAACATGTCTATTTAGCTCAACACAGGACAACTCAATGGTGTGTTCAACTGACAGTGCTACAATATCTTTCCTTCCTTTTGATTTAATACTATTTTTTACTAATATTAAGGACCCACCATGTAACATATGCTTTCTACTGAAATTACTAACTACATTGTAATTATCTAAATTTAAAGATATTAGTTGGTCCTCCTTAAACCAATGTTCTGATAGACAAATTACATCAAATTTAGTCTTTTCCAGAAACATCTCTAATTCAAAGACTTTTGAGGAGCAGCCCTGAATGTTAATATAAAATAATTGTAGATTGTGCTGTCCCTGTGTATAATTGTTCTGTGCTTTTTCCTTGCCAGAATATACCTTATTATTTATATGATTTATGAAGGTATGTTCTGTTGTCTTAAAATCTAGTTTAAACTGTCAAACACCAAGCGGTCACCGGTGACCGCGACCTATTGTTCTTTAATTGTGTCTATAAAACCGGTACTCGACGAGTTAAACTTAAATTAAAATGTGCCTCTGTGCTGTTAGACACTCTAGACAACACAGATTCGTCCTTAAAACTATTTTCTGTTATACAAGGTATAACAGTGTTAATATTATATGCTATCAGCATAGCAATTTTTTGTCGACATTTTTTTGAAAGGTGTACACCTTTCTTTGTAAAAACAAAAGTACCTCGAAGTACTAATAAATTTATTAGTGTCAAAAAATAAAAGTCTGTCATTGTGACATGTCATTTGGTGTAGTGTATTATTTAGTACACCTATGTATTTGTTCTTAGAATGTGGTAAAGTATTAGAATATGGGAAGGCACACAATATTATCTTCCCTATGTTCAAGTTCAACAAGGTGTCCACACCGTTCACAATGTCCCCTCTTGTTACTCCTAAGCTGTTACCTAACATTAAAACTAAAACTGACTTTTCATTTAAATCTGCATGAGTTATTTATTTAGTTATTTAGTTAATACCGTTAACATGAACCTTTGACTGTCTTTCTTCTAAATAAGATTTCATAAGACGGAGCGCAGAGTTTCTTATCCCATAGTGATCTAATTTCAGCAAAACTGTCTCTTGGTTAACGCAATCAAAGGCTTTTGAGAAGTCACAAAAGACACGAATAGCATCCTGTGCTTCCTCCGAAACACCAAATATTTCCTTAATCAAAGTGACACCGGCGTCAGTTGTGCAACGACCTTTAGTGAAACCGTATTGTTATTGGTGAAAGATAGAACGTTTATTAAAATGATGAAGCATCCGAGATAGCATCAATTTTTCAAAGACTTTGCTAAGTACCGGCAAAACAGACACTGGCTTATATTTGTTAGGTTCTTTAGTGTCACCACTTTTATAAATAGTGGGATAACTTTACTATATTTCATTAGGTCAGGGAAAACACCGTCATCTGTACATTGAAATCACAGCCATAAATGGCGCTACAGTTTGAATGAGTGACTTGCAAACTTTTACCGATAATCCCCAAAGATCCGTTGAAAACTTTTATAATTTCTAGAGGATTCGTATATCGAAAACTAAAATCGTGTTGACATGATTCTATGTTGTTCTTAAATAAAGTTACAGAGAAGTTTGCTGATGACTTTAAATGTTCAGTTGTTTTGATAGGAATGTTGGTAAATAAATTTTTAAACTCCCGGGCTACATCTACGTTTGATGAAATCTGTCCCCTTTCGGTATTTAAATTAAATTCTGAGTTTCTTAATCTTTTCCTACCAGTCTCGTTGTGTATATCTTTCTAAGTAGTTTTTATCTTATTATCAGATGATTTTATTTCATTACTGACATTACATAAAGACGTTTCGCGACTCTGCATACTATTCTAAAGGTTTTTGAATAAGATGTTACATACTGGTGAAATTGGGGGTCGTTTTTGTACGGTTTCATTCCATAAAGTTCAAAAAGTCTGTCCTCTTACGGATACCTACAGTTGCCCAATCGCTAAATACAAATTTGGAACATTATTATTTTTATTGGCAAAATATTGTTAAATTCCTTGTTTAACATATCAAAGAAATCGTTGTAGAATTTATTCAGATTACTAGTATCAAATAATTTCATACATAATTTAGTAGCTAAAGAATTGCTCAATATCTCCAAATTTTCTCCTGCAGTAATTCACTGTGGGAAGTGGAAACTATCGATTTTTTTCTTCTCCTATTATAATATCTTCTGATTCACTTCGTTGCGGGAACCAAGACAGTTATTCATGTCTCTGTGACGCGCCAGCCTACAGAGTTCCGGTGTTTTCATGGTTGTGTCTACTGTAGGTCCTGGCTTACAGGAGTTGCAGCGGTTTTAAGAGGTTGTGGCCGGCTTGTCCCATTAAAATAAAAAACTCTGGAGTTCTATTTTATTACAGTAACCGGTTAAAAATTGATTTTTCTGTAATACATAATTTAACACAATGCAAAATGATTTTATGAGTCTACCAAAATTTAATAAAATGGATTACCTCTAGTATCTAATTATAGGTTACTTGTAGGCCACGGTCACTTCATGAGCTTCACGTGCAAGGACTGATAGGCAAAGTTTACTTTATGTGCACTTTAAGGTGCAAGGACAAATGAGTATAAGAGCGTGAAATTGCTAGATTTTTCCGTGCCCAGGTACTTATAAAGTAGCGAACTAAATTAATCATTTCTTTAGTGAGAGTTTGTACATTCATAGCATACATAGATATTTAACTGCATCTGATAGATAGGTATATCCCAAAGGCGTCACATCAGCCCGTTCATTACTATCTACAGCTCTTTGTATCTAGCTATGGTCAGCCACTTTGCAGATATCGCCACTCCGTAAAAGATTTCCATCATAGCCACGTTCCAAATCTATTTATTAACTACTACTTACCAATTGTTTAGAGACAGTAATTACCTAAATGTATTTCTTTTAATTACAGTTGTCCATCATGTCGCCGTTAACGCTAGAAGGAGACACAGTCAGCAAAAAGCGCCGGCACTTCAATAAACTTGTCACGGATACGGCCGTTAGCGAGCATTATGAACTTACGCCAATTAATGAAACAGACAGTGACATAGACAACCTGCTGAAGATAGAAATCGCGTGTAAAACCAGAAATGTAGACTACGTCATCGAAGTAATGAAATCCAAAGACATGCTGTATGCGGCGACAGCTATTAAAAAGTCCACGTGGCTAATCACCGACCCGCAGTACGCAAACATCATCAACCCTGAGTACCTACACACACAACTAAAACCTTACATGACCACCAAAGCATTTAACAAACTCTTGCTTCACATCAGACTCAATCTGAAAGATGAAAGTCGAGTCGAAGTCTTTTATGAACACTTTAAAGATACAGATAGCGCCTGTAGATGGTTGCAGAACTGTTCCATACCTTTTATTGAAAATGTCATCAAAAACGAACGATCCATACCAGTATGGGTTTTCAAACGTTTGTGCAAGCGTTCTGCTGGATTTCTTTCATACTATACACATGCTGAATATCGTTGGTGTAGTATAAAAAAAGAACTTTTATTCTTATTGAAATCGCACACTGAAGATGTGATTAACATGGTTGAGGACCGGAAACATGATTACATGCCCGTATTAGGTAAAAAGAAAACAAAAATCATGATGGAAAAATTCCCCCAAAAAGTCTTAGACAATTTTGATAGGTACCATGGATACCTTGACATGTCTGTTTTTGTGAAATATTTGCCGAAAAATGAAATTAAAACTTTTCTCTGCAAAGCAACGCAATACAGTTTTTACAATTTAGACATATGGCGATGCTTTCTCAACCATATGGACCAAGAAGATAGATTTGAATTCGTTAAGAAATCTTTGATCGATAAAATTGATTTTAAAATCTTATTTCCAAAAGAGATGCAAAATTTTATAGAGGGAATAAATACCTATCAGTGGTATGAATTTATTCCATTTGACGTAGCATTATCTGAATCAAAGAATATAATTCGTAAACAAAACTTACCTGCGGATCGGTGTTCAATCCTTATAGTTTTAATTAGTAGCGCAAGAAAATGCCCTGAGCATATCAAGTCATTACTTAAATATTATTTTGAAAAACACATCAACGAACCCTACAATTATAAGATTCAGTTCGTTAACGCTCTGTTGTCGAGTGTATCTGCTCATAAATTCGACGTTGAAACCTGGAATTATTTGAATCAATTGTTTCATAGTATGGAAGTGTACGTCGAATCGGATAATAACGTACAACAGTGTCTTGAAGCTATAATCCTATACAATGTATTACATGATATACCCGTACCGGAAATAGTAGAACAAAAACAATCATTTAATACTTTCCGAAACATAAGAAACGCGTTAAACGATGAACAAAAAAACAAATTGTTCACTTATATCCTAAATTCGACATGGTCTAAAATTAAAACTGATAATATAGTAAATGAGTCCATGTTAGACGTAGCTTTGCATGAACTGTACTGGTGTGTGTTTATGTTGTTGAAAGATTGGAATAAACAATTATCTGATTACCCATTCATTTACGAAACAATCCAAAAACTAATTAAAATAAAAGAAGAGAACGAGTGGACCACAGACATGTCATGCTTATACAATTTGAACAAATCATGGCGAAAGTACATGTTTGAGGAGTCGCTGTCGCTCTCTCTGTGCGAGGAAACGTGCCTGAACGCTCTGAAGCACAAGCCACAGCTGCTGACGCGTCACGACAAACAAATACACACGTTGCGAACTAACGACGCGGTCTCACTGCGGCGTGTGCTCGCGAAGCTGCGCGTCTACTGGCCGGACTCACTCACCCGACACTGGACAGAGGCTTACATGCTAAGCCTAAAAGAGCCTACTGGTCAAAAAGCAGTAATTAACGGTATTTTCCTGCTAACCCCTATCGGTCAAGTCGTACAACTAGCAAAGAAATATGTTCCATCTGAAACTAAAATAAATTGGAGTGACTTTAATCAAGGCGACATTAGCATACAGAAAAATATTGCTAAACATCTTCACGTAGCTAGGCCACTTGTTCCTTTAGATACGGTGTTATGGTATGCCAAAGGTGATTACTTACAGTATGCAGTACCGTCACTGAGTGCTATCTTGTCCAATATCAGTCTAGTTGAGAGTCGTGAATATTTACCTAAACTGTTGGATGCTCCAGTATCATTACAAAAATTTGGAATACGTCAAGCATTTTTAAAATTTGAGATTAATGATTTGATAACCATACTTTCGAAAATCTGGAACACTACAAAGAATCCTTCTATTAAATCTATTATTTTCCTCTGCACATATAATAAAATTTGTAAGATTAAGAATGAGTTCAAAGAAAAATGTCTTTGGAAATTATTAAGTTCATTTTTAGACGACACGAGGTTTAAAAAGGGTGTAGGCATTTATAAAAAATTAATTGACGTCAACATTATTCCCATCAGCGTACAGGGAGAGTTTTTCATGAAAAGTTACAATATTTTATCTTCCTCGCCCAACTCATACGATAAGGATTCGCATTTAGACAAACTACTAAAATATACGCCTAAGATAATGGAAAGACTTGACGAAGATTTTGTCGCAAATAAACTACTATCACCAGCAGGCACTAAACTCTGTTCGTATAACAGTCAGTATATAGACTCATTTGCATGTTACGTTTTATGTGGTAAGAGTCAAGAAGATCAACTTGTGAGATTTAACAAGGTTTTACGTCCAGCAATGGAAGAAGCTTTTCAATGTTGGAACCATACTGATTCAGGGTCTTTGTATGTAAAGCGTCAGTTTAAGAATCTATTGAATACTTTAAGCTGGTATTTTATAGTATATTTTAGTTTGAATAAGATACCTATACCTACAAAACTATTTGCAGAAATTTTAATAACTATGCAGAAAGGCTTGCCTATAATTAAAAACTACGTTCTAATCACGAGCTGGAAATTTGTCAATGAATATATACATTTAATGGATGAACACGAAACTATATTAAATGCACTTCAATTGAAAAATGTAACAATTTCAGATTTCTCGGAATATTCAGAATGGATATACATGCCTGATGAACCGGAAAATATTTGGCAAGACAATCATAACAAATTATCACCATTCCTAGGTCCAAAGATAGTATCGTTACTGAAAGAAGATAGCGAGCTATATGGTCCTACGATATACAATCTATTCAGGAGTGCTTTCGAAAATATGTTTAAAATGTTTGCATTTATAAATAATGTGTATACTTTGAACACTCTGAAGTACATGTTGGTTGATGAAAACTTTATTACTAGCTATTTACTCGTGGCTCTATGCTTTCCTAAATATTGCAAGTCTGAATGGTTAGAATTACGTGTAAAACTTAAATCGAATCCATCTAAAATTGCAAAGTTACATTATTATGACTAACCATCATCATTATCATTATTAGCATCTCAGTAGCCACAGCAAAGAAGGGGATGGGGCGCTAAATGACAATAAGCTTTCGGCCTCTTAATGGCCACTCGGTCCTCTAGATCCTCACTGAACACACTGATTTGATACGACTTTCGTCTATAACTTGTACTGACATCCTGGTACATGTCCTGTATGACAGCCACTGGAAAAAGGAATTGATCATGAAACGAGGTTCTCGTCTTTTTACAGAAATTCGGCCAGTCTGTGCCCTATACAAATTGCCCCACCCAGCTTTTTATCGTCACAAAAGCACCTTTTTGAAGTTCTGCCTCGTCTGGTTGTGTCGAAGTCGAGACCGATTGATACTTGTTAAAACAAGTATCTGTTTGATACTCTGGGTATCAGGCACGCCACCCTGATCGACACGAGCTCTTCAGTTTCTTGACATAATGCGTTACTCTGTCGCCCACACTCAATTTTGGCTCCTATATAGAGTCAAAAGCGTAACTGGCTGGTAGGAAGCTGGGTATCCTATGGAGGATGAGACGGTACTTCACGCCGAAGCAATTGCTGAGCGTGTACCAGGCACAGGTTCGGTCTTGTATGGAGTACTGCTCTCATCTTTGGGACGGCTTGGCCAAATATCAGCTGGACGCGTAAGAGCACATCGAGAGGCGTGCCAAGATGCTCATCCACGATGATGCACTTGTGGAGGAACGGCTTCAAAGCCTCGAACACAGGCGTAAGGTTGCAAGCCTTTCAATCTTCTACCGGATACATTTCGGAGAGTGTGCGAGGGTTTTGCACAACTTGATTGCCCCAAGTCCTTTCCATCATCGTACCACAAGACAATCGGCGAAACGTCACCGATTCATGGTAGATGTCCCACCCACACGCACGAAGCGCTTCGCATCAAGCTTCCTTGTGCGTGCCTACTGCTAAGGAGTGGAATTCTTTTGTCTGTATTTCCTGAAGAGTGTATAACGTGCGTGTCTTCAAGGCCCGAGTGAATAGGTTGCTTATGGGTCGACGTGCTCCATCGTAGGCCTCGTCATCGCTTACCACCAGGCGAGAAAGTGATCAAACGTCAGTCCCATCTAATATAAAAAAAAACGATTCCAATCGCAACAATTGTTCTTGACGTTCTGGACCAGTGGACACGAAACCCAACACCACCTTGGAACAAATCGGTGACATGATAATACGGTCTCAGATAAGTAGTAGTTTTAATTTTAAGATTTGTAAGAAATGTCATAGTTTTAGTACCTATATATAATTAATGAAACATTATTCTAATATAAATTATTTTTATTATACATATAATTGTATGTAGCTTTCAAATTCGCAATGCCTGTAAAGGGCCACTAAGATGTAAATACTTAAATTAAGATCTTTGTAATAATAAGCAAATAAGTATAATTTTTTATATATGTAGGTAATATAAATGTAAGTGTTATTCTTATTTTTATTTTTAAATATTTTTATTAAACTTTTGACTACATAGTTGTTTTGTTTCGTTTAAAATTGCATAGGTATTGATACTACCTATTGATATAGGATCCAATATATTCAAAATCACGTTTTCGTTCGCACATTAGTAAAATAATGTATTTTGGATCGCATCAACCTTCTATTAGAAAATAGGAATTTCAGTGAAGTTAGAAGAAACTCGATACTAATCGTGACCACTGCCGACCGAAAGCACAATAGACGATCGAACGGTCACTGCACCTACCGTCAATTTGATTCTACGGTCCAGTTTAATTTGAAATGTGCGACAGACCACTGAACATCGTAGAATATGGTCCCAAGCAGACAAAAGTGACAGTTCGATTCCATAGTCTATTTGTGTGCCGATCACTGGCAATATGACTCACTGGCTACTCCCGCGCAGCTTTACCTGATGCCCGACACCTATTGGTTATAGCCTATCCTTATAATGAATGAATTTGTAATGAATAGTGCATTTAGCTTTCCTCGATAAATGCACTATCCTACTAATATTATAAATGCGAAACTTTGTGAGGATGTAGGTATATGTGTTACTGATTCACACAAAAACTACTGATCGGATTTAGATGAAACTTCACAGTAATGTAGGTCATACATCAGAATAACATATGGGGTACAATTTGTAATGACTATGATATTTTGGGCATAACATAACACAAAATATTAGCCAAATCGGGCTTCTGAGACCTATCTGGGCGTACGCTGCCTAAACCATACAAAGACAGTTACACAAATATAATGTATTGTAAGATTGTTTGTATTTAGTTCTAAATAAAAGTCAACGGCATATTTCTATCTTTTATGTGGAAGTCATTATGCCGTTTCTCACTATTTTCACAATTTATATCGCTTTCAATGAATTGAAATGACTTACCTATACGAAAAGAAAGTCAAGCACTTGACCGATGCGTTATACTTTTGGTTCTGATCTCATGTGGTAGTAAGAAATTACTGGAGGAATCGTGGCGCGTGGTGAAGCACAAGCCACAGCTGCTGACGCTTCACGACAAACACACACGTTGCGAACTAACGACACGGTCTCACTGCGGCGTGTGCTCGCGAAGCTGCGCGTCTACTGGCCGGACTCACTCGCCCGACACTGGACAGAGGCTTACATGCTAAGCCTAAAAGAGCCTGGTCAAAAACCAGTAATCAACGGTATTTTTCTGCTAACCCCTATCGGTCAAGTCGTACAACTAGCAAAGAAATATGTTCCATCTGAAACTAAAATAAATTGGAGTGACTTTAATCAAGCCGACATTAGCATACAGAAAAATATTGCTAAACATCTTCACGTAGCTAGGCCACTTGTTCCTTTAGATACAGTGTTATGGTATGCCAAAGGTGATTGATTACTTGCAGTATGCAGTAAGTACCGTCACTGAGTGCTATCTTGTCTTCCTAGAATATTTGTGTAAAGACATGTTTGCATCAAAAATAAGTTGATCGTTTTTTTATTATTATTTTGTACATATTTTACTGTCTGTAACTTTGAGAACAACAGTGATTTTTTTATTAAACGTAATAAAACTCCGTATTGATGATATTGGCATTTTTATTTCACTTATAATTTAAACCTGTTTTTCTAAACCTCCGGTAGGTACCTACCTACAGCCTTGGCCAAAAGTATTAGGCACCCCCAACAAAGTTCCCGTGCACCCGTGCTATTTAAACAATGAGTAAATATTCTTTTGAAAGATGATCTCGGGGTCATAAACCACTATTTAAGATATTGGGTGGCAATATTTAAGTGGTTGTATAACATATAGTGCATCAATAACGAAATATTATTTTTTACTTACTTACTTACTTTTAATGTTTGATCAGTCTGCATTTGGAAGTCTTCTCATAAAGACAGAACATTTGTAGTTTTTTGATGAAATAGAAAACAGATTTATTTGGAAATGCTAATTAGAAAAGAAATTTGTCTTAAAATCGTGTGTAAGTCAAACTTTTACATTAGCAAGGAGAGAACCAGAATGAAATTGCAAAGTTGGTAAAATATTCGCGATTCGCAGTTCAATCTTCTATTAAACGTTTTGATGGGACTGGTACTAATGCGAATAAACCAAGAACAGGCAGAAAAAGCGTGACTGCTAGCCACCAGGACAGGAAACATAACCGCGAGTGTATCAAAGACCGAAAAAAATTTACTTTGGAGCTTGCTGCAACTTTAACTGAAGAGGCTGGTAAACCCATAAGCGCTCGGACTGCAAGAAGAACACTAATAGAAGCAGGTTTAAAAGGTTACAAAGCCAGAAAGAAGCCGTGTCTTTCAGCAGAGAACAAAAAAACGTCTTGGTTGGGCTCTGAGACACCAACATTTCATAGAGGAGTATTGGTCCAATGTGCTATGGTCGACGAATCAAACTTTGAGGTAAGTTTTATTAATTGAGTCTATAACACAATTGCAACGATTATTATTGTATTAGTCTTCAAACTCAAATGTTATAAAGATTTGTATTGTGTCAATTTCGTTTTATCATTTCAGGTATTTGGAACACCAGGTGTGACGTTTGTGAGCCGACGAAGAGGCGAAGAATATCACCCAGATTGCGTAGTCCCAACCATAAAACACGGCAGAAGCCTCGTAATGATTTGAAGCTGCACGGCTGTGAATGAAATCGGCAAAATGTGCATTTACGAAGGTCGCATGAACCAGTGAAAAATACATAAATGTATTAGAAAGTGCTCTTATACCTTCAAATTAGTGTATTTTTATTAAAACTAATTTACACGGGTTAAATTTCACCAGGAAAATGCGCCTTGTCATAAATCAGCGACACGTTGCACTGGTTTGCTGACAACTGTATTGCCCTATTAGATTGGCCTGCCCAGTTCCCGGATCTAAATCCAATTGAACATTTGTGGGGTATTTTAAAGAAAGACATCAAAATATATATTCCACAACATCAAAAACTGCATTAAAACACGTTAGTTCACAAATGGAAAGCAATTTCTCAAGAAGAATGCATAAACCTTGTACGCAGTATACCCCACAGAGTTGCTGCTGTAATAAAGTCAAAGGGTGATCCAACAAAATATTAATGTTTTTGTGTGTTTTTAATAGAAATAAAGTTAATTTATCAACAAAAGTAGTTTTGTTTCTCTCTAAATCAAAAATATGACATAATTCATAGGGTGCCTAATACTTTTGGCCAAGGCTGTATGTTATGGGTCTGTTTATGATTCACCCTGTGGAATAGTAAGTGAGTGACCATATACCGGACTCATTCTAAACTTAGTGCCTACGTGCTATTACTGTATTTTTTATTAAAAAACACAAATTTATATTTTAGTAGTTGTAGTCGCACCCGTGACCAAGTAGAGAGATAGATAGCCTTTCCCGATAATTTATTTAATAGAGGTGGACAGTTTGCACCTCTACTGATCTCTATGGAAAATGAGAGGCGTTATACTTCATGGTCTCTAATAAAGTCTTAGCATTTCTATTAATAAACTGAAACTAATAAAAATATTTTTCTTTCAACATATTTATT